CGGCATTCCCCCAGAGGAGCTGGAGGAAGTGTCTGGAGAGAGGGAAGTCTGGGCATCTTTGCTTAGACTGCTGCCCCCACGACCCGGTCCCAGATAAGCAAAGGAAAATGGATGGATGGATGAATGGATAAAATAATACTAAGACTGTGGTTAAAAAAAACAACAACAACAAGCCATTGTCAGACTTTGGGCCAATTGAGCATCATTCCATACCACTACTGTATATCCCAGTGTTTTTAATTTTTGTGCAGTCAGATATGGTAGCAAGTACCTTTACGTTATTCCTGCAGTGCAAAAGTGTTCACCTGCCATAGAAGATCGCTTTGTCATCAACAGTGGTGGAAGAATTAATCACATTTTTCACTTAAGTAAAAGTAGCAATACCACATGTACAAATACTCTGTTACAAGTAAAAGTCTTGCATTCAAACTGTTACTTAAGTACAGTACAAAAGTATTAGCACCCAGACAGAAAAGTTCTCCCAACATTCAGCTGCCTTCAACCAGCCAACAGCCTTTGTAAGGCCATGATTGACAGTATGCTCGACAAGTGTGGACCATATTTCATTGGGAACGTGCTTACAGTATGTCCTTGGCCTTTACTCCCTCTTCCTCTGGTTTGCCTCCCTACCCTTCCATAGCCCTACCTCTCTTCTTCCTCCTGGTAGTTGACACTGTTCATTTCCTTGTTTTTTCCATTGTCAGAAATGGAAACTGTGTGTTGGCTCTGTCTCTATATTCTTGCTGCCTGAAGGTTCATAAGATGCACTTCTGAGCTGGTTTAGAGAACTGGTTGATCTGATGCTTCACACATTTTCCTTCATTAGTGAAAGTCAAGATTCACCTGAGAGTAATTGAACAGTAAAAAAAACGAGGGTTTTAATTTATGGTTATCATATTTTAGATGTCATATCTTTTCACTGAACTCCTATTTACTCATTATCACATGACAGCAGCTCCTTCAGTGTTAGACTTCTTCAGACTCTGTTAGCTTTGTCACAAAAAGTTAAATCTGTATGTCCCACGTAGCACGAGGGGGTAGTGGACTGATAGTTGCTCAGTATTAACATTTACAGTCACTAGATACAGTGGTGCTGACATGCAATGATCCAGCACAATGCAGAATTAGTAATCTTAGAATTTGTACAAGAAAGAGAAAGAGAAAGACCTTAGTTTTGTCACATCAGTGGGTATAAAGTCACCATGAAGGCTCAGTGGGGTGGTGTTTGCTTTTGCTATTGATCCTGTTAACACCATTATTGATCCTCAAAACTAATCTTTGCATCCATAGTATCAATACTTTTGGGATCAATTCTTCTGATTATATCGTACAGACATAGATGTAATCAATCCGGATTACTGTATGCACTGCCTTTGAGCAAGGAACTGACCTCAGAGCTGGAATTGGCCCTTAGGTGCAGCCCTGTTGCTGTTCAGTGCTTCTTCATTTAGGAAGGGTCAAAAGGATTTCCCCATGGAAATTTATAAGCTATAACTTGTTCATACTACCTTCATGGTAAATTTGTAACAATCATTTTAGAGTTTTTATTTAGTTTAACACTTTACTTATTTATATTAATTTTTTTATAATGTAAAATAAGTATTTTGATCCTTACATGAGAATTGAATGACTCTTAAGTGGGTTGCGGACTGTCTTCCTGTTGGAACTAACACAGAGCCAGGAGGAATCCATACAATTATCATTTAAGATGGTATAATCATTATAGACAATTCTCATTGCATCTTGGTGCAAAAGTTTTAAAGTTTGTTTATAATGTGTTCACAGTCATCCATCATATAAAAATTGGACAGTGTAACAGATACTGTTTGGCGATTTGACAAAATAAACTGTAAAACTTCGGAAATTTGTACCGATGTCTGAGTTTTTGTTAAGAGCAGACAATATTACAAAGCAGCTGCATTTATCACTTACCATTAATGGATTTACAGGCTTTTTGCACCAAGGTGGTGAATAACACTGATTTGTCAGATATTTAATTCACTGCATTGTAGAAAACATTTTCTGTATGGTTACTTTGTGTCAGGGCTCCGCGGCCGCTGCCTCTCCTCTCTCTA